GTTCACCACCTGGACGAAGGAGGTCAGGCTACCGCTGGGCATTCACGTCGGTGATACACCAATTCCGACGGTGAATAACCAAAAAATACTCGTAGTAACATTCGACAGTCTGATCTCCTTCTCTGCGCACGCAACCGCTATTGTCAACAAAGTACAGAGCCGCAAACAAGTCCTCAAGTCGCTAGCCGGCAGTACTTGGGGCAACGCCAAATAAACGTTGCTGGCAACATACAAGGCAATAGGCTGGCCGGTTTTAAATTACGCAGCACCAGTGTGGTCGCCGCGGACTAGTAGGACGCAGTGGATGAAGCTGCGGACTACCCAAAACATCGCACTACGGACAGCGACTGGATGCCTTCTGATGTCGCCAGAACACCACCTGCACGACGAGGCGAAAATGCTCCCAGTAAAGGAGCATAACACAATGCTCTGCAAGCAGTTTCTAGTTGGGAGCCATAGACGACTGCTTGCAGAAGAGCCTTTGCCCAGGCACGTCAGGAGACATCTCTACGAACTGACGGACGAAGTCCAGAGGTTCATTAAACAACCTCTGGACCCGTCAGCTCATCGACAGGCCCTGAGCGGCATTCACAGGGTCAGTCTCGAGTTATGTAGACTCGACTTGTGAATGCCGTTCTAGGCGCACAACCACCTGACATCGACGAGACGGAGCTTCATCTGCCTCGGGAGACTAGAACCACAATAGCCCAACTTCGCTCTGGCTACTGCAACAGGATAAACTCATACCTGAGCAGATTACACGCAGATGTGCCAAATGAGTGTCCGGCATGCGGAGCGACACCCCATGACTCGAAACATCTCTTCGTATGCCCGGAAAACCCGACAACTTTAACGCCTTTATCCCTGTGGACCGACCTTATTGAGGCTACACGCTCCTCAATATTATCTTTTTAAAGGGTCTTAGATAGTGTATCATTTTACTACGTGCATTTTGACATTCGACAGTCGAACCATTCATTTTTGGGGGTAAATAATTTTTTCCCTGTTTGTGTATTTGCCGCACGCTTGATTGTATCAGTAAGGGCTTCAACAATGGCAGAAATTGTACTCCCAGCATTGGAAAGACCGCTGCTGCATGCTTCATCGAGATTTCTGGCATATGCACTCATTTTGTTGGGGTTCCAACTTAGTTTTTGTGGGAAGCTACATTTAGTTGGTGAAACGACAGTTGAACGCCCAAATAGTTCTACAACTAGAGGCATGTGATCGGAACAGATACCATAGTCAATTCCTGTGCTGCCTGCAGCGCCACAAATAGTTAGCTCTCCAGCTGCGTCACCAGAAATTCTACCATTTAATATAACGCACCCGATATTATCTATCAGATTGAGCAATTTTTTACCCTTTTTGTCTAGCATAACGTTCTTCGAGCTCCGATTTACGCAAAACTGAGGTATACCATGGATGAGGTGTTCATCTAAGGTCTGCTCAGTGCCCATATGCCCATTGAGGTCACCCAATACAAGGAAGGTAGGACGTAACTTTAACAAGAACTCTTCAAACTCAGAAAAACTCGTATACCAGCTTGAACAATTAAGGTAATTCGGAATAAATGTGGAGTTGATGTGCCCAACCTAACAGATAAGCACACATACAAACAATGAATTTTTAATAGAATGGAGACGTGGGGTAAAGGGCTACAAAACTCTCGAACCTTTTCTAAAAACGATTGAAATGTTTACAATTTTTAAAGTGGATTATTTTTTGTGATTTCTGTGCAAGGTTTCAAACTTGTATTTGTGTGGTTTCTGTTATAGATCGAACTATATTTTAAATGAAATTTATTAAAAATACATTAATAAACATAAGTTGCGAAGTATACCATTTTTAACTTTGTCCTTATTTTGCACACAACTGTATATGATGAATAGATAAGACTTTGGTTGTGTTTTCCCACAAAATTAAAATTTTGAAATAATTCTCTTTGTTGTTAGACGTGAGATATATTCCGTCATTGTTAAAATAATTCATGATATACATATGTATTATTATTTAAATAGAATTTTTTGTTTAAATTATGATATCCCTTTTTAGTAGCTTTTTTGTTAAGTTTCCTTCTTTTTCGTGCAAACATAGCTGAATAAACGTCTAAAACGCAACTATTTATCAAAATCATAAGATTTGTAGCTCTCGTAAATGTGCACTCTACGAAAAACCAATGTTCGAAAATAAATAAACACTGCATAAGGCTAATCAAAAACTGGACAAGTTTTTCAGTACTAGTTTGAACTTGAGATTACGTAAACTGCGTTCATGTTTAACAGCTGGCTGACATTTTATTGGCTAATCTTAGCTTAAACCAGATAGCTAGAGCATTTAAACTAAGTTTAAACCAGTCAGATTTAACCTTGTTCCGAATTAACATACTTTTTTTTACTTGATGAAAGTAAATGCTAAAGCAGACAAAAGAACCCTACAAACTGCTTAAGAAAATTATATCCTCTTTTCTATCCGGACAGATTGCCTGACATACTGGCCCAGTTATGTATAGCGACTGGTGTTTAGTTCCTGATCTAGTAGCCGCGGCGACTAGTATCTCCTTCTCGGCGCATACAACCGCAATTGTCAACAAAGGACAGAGCCGCACCAATGTCCTCAAGTCGCTGGCCGGCAGCACTTGGGTCAAAGATAAAGAAACGTTGTTGGCAACATACAAGGCAATTGGCCGGCCGGTTCTAAACTACGCAGCGCCCGTGTGGTCGCCGGGGACTAGCAGGACGCAGTGGATGAATCTACAGACCTGCCAAAACACGGCTTTACGAACTGCGACAGCATGCCTCCTGATGACGCCTCAACACCACCTTCATGACGAGGCCCAGATGCTCCCAGTAAAGGAGCATAACATAATGCTCTGCAAGCAGTTCCTTGCTGGCCATCCCAGCGGGCAACTGCTCGCGGAAGAGCCCTCGCCACGGCACGACGGGAGGCATCTTTACGAACTGACAGACGAAGTCCAGAGGTATATCAAACAACCTCTGGACCCGTCAACCTACCGACAGGCCCTGAACGGCATTCACAGGGAATCAGTCTCAAGTTATGTAGACTCCCGCCCCGTGAATGCCGTTCTAGGCACACAACCACCGGACGTGGACGGGACTTTGTCTGCCTCGGGAGATAGCCCAACTTCGCTATGGCTATTGCAGCAGGCTTAACAGCTACTTGAGCAGAATTAACGAAGATGTGCCCAACCAATTCCCGGCATGTGGAGAGTCGCCACATGACTCCCGGCACCTCTTCACATGCCCTGAGAACCCCACTCAGCTAACGCCCCTGTCCCTATGGACAGCCCCTGTGGAAGTAGCACACTTCCTGGGCCTCCCCCTAGCTGAAATTGACGACAACGTTGATGGATGAACCGCCCCGAACGGGGCTTAGTAGCCGCTACAACAACAACAACCAGTATCGTTCTTTATATTATGTATAGCGATTAATCTCAGTATACAGAAAACCGCAGACAACATCGGAGTTTACTTTTTTGAAATGTTCATTCCGAAGCAATTGCCAACTTTGCTTCAAAAAATCATACGCGTATTTTTTACGATTATGATTTTTCTTAGATTTATAAGTCTGTGGTGGCTTGATAACAGTAATTATCCAACGTTTACTTTTTACGTTGTCTGAAACACGTTGTAAGATAAGTATATTGACGAAAACGGAGATGGAGAAGAAGATAAAGATGATGAAAGAGGAGAAGTCAAATAACTGTTATCAGATAACGTAAAAATAAATGTTGGGTAATAACTGTTATCAAGCAACGTAAATATAAAGGTTGAGACATAACTGTTATCAAGCAACTTAAAAAATAAATGTTGGGAAATAACTCTTATTGGCGACGGAAAACATATTTGTCCTGCATAACAGTTATCGGGCAAACGTTGGGTTGTAAGTCTTATCGGCGCAATAAAAAATATTTAGCATCTAATAACTGTTTGGAACAACGTTTCTCCGTTAAAACTTATAACTGTTATGTCACTGATTTAAACGAATCCGTAGACCTTAAGATCATAATCTAAAACGATCCACTACAAATAAACTTCTGCAAATAACTTTACATTTTCAAAACATCTATAATAAAGTAGTATACAAGTTAAAAATTATGTACATACACTACAGCTACAGCTACAGTAATACATACAGCTAATTAAGCCAGCAACATTTTGATCATTTTTTATTTTTTTTTTTTTTGTATATTTAATGTTTATTATTTTTTTGGTAAAAGTCTAACTCATTATATAACAAACACCATATAAATAAATCCACATTTCAAACTTTGTGCCAAAATTATAAAAATCTGCAGTTTCATTATATTTCGTCGAATATAAATATTTGGTATGGAAAAAATGCGTAATGTAGTCAGAAAAAAATGATTACAAATCAGCGCGATTCTTTGCCAACGTAAAACTTGCTCATTAAAAAATCCGAATAATAATAATAACAATAGATTGGCGCTTACACATATGTTAGTGTTTGGCCGAGCTTCTCCTCCGATTTGTGGCGTGCGCCTTGATGTTGTCACACAAAGCGGAGGGACCTACAGTTTTACGCCGACTCCGAACGGTTTTGTATTGTATTGGATTGTATTTTTATGACAAGCTGTTTTTCATGGCAGAAATACACTTGGAGGTTTGCTATTGTCTGCCGAGGGACGACCGCTGTTAAGAAAAAACCTTGTTTCTATATTTTTTTGCCATGTTGCTGTGACCAGGGTTTGAACCCAGGTGCTGCGGAGTGGAAGCGCGCACTGTTTACCACTACACCACAGCGGCCGAAAAATCTGAATAAAAAGTTTAAAATTTAGCTGAAATCTTGCACAAAGTTTGAAATGTGGATTTATATGGTGTTTGTTATATAATGAGCTAGACTTCTATGAAAAAATAATAAACATTAAATAAACAAAAGAAAAATAGCCAAAATTTGTCAAGATGGTGCTGGCATAATTAGCTGATCACAAGTGTATGTATTTCAAAAATAATACTCACATTTGGACCCAAGCAAGCGAACAAGTAAATTTCTGGTATATTATGACTATTATATCCCGCTACCTGCGCTTGTAAAACAATTCCTTTGGTTAGCTGGCATAAAATATCTGCCGCTTCTGGTGACCAGATAGAATCTAGTTGGATGGAAAATATATTGCGCAATTAATGTACAATGAACTTACTATATCATTTTAATACATACCAATCGGTTCCACATTTGACAAAACACATTCTGTTGCTTGGAATGGCACAGTCATGAAATCTGATCGAATTTGCCGTAATTCATTGAAATGAACATTCATATAGCCTCCAAAGTCTAAAAATTTAACTACACAGCGCTGCTCATCTTCACTATCTTGCTCAACTATTTGAACTCTATACCATATCCCATTTACTGGAATTACGCAAACAGCATTAATTTCGATTCCAGGCAGCAAAGGTGCTTCACTTGTGGAGTAGCTGTCGTACAAACACTTTTGAATAACAGCTAGTGAAGGATGGGAAGGATGTAAAGGATGTTGAACGAACATATGTGCGCCATTTACGACAGCAGTAACAATTATATCATTATTAATGCCTTCGATAAGGTTAAGCTGCATTGAAAAATTAGAAAATCTCCGATGAATATGTGAATTAAAAAAGAAAAATTACTTGCCTGTAGATTAAGCAAACTTTCGGTAGATAAAGGAACTACAGTTTGAGGAGGTGCAAAATGTATCCTTTGCATTGTAAAATTAGGATAGCGTTTTGCGGGTAGACGTTGCCTTATCATTGCCAAAGCAGATTTAATTTCACTCTCGGAGCCCTCAATGGCGCATATGCAAACGAATTTACCTGCATAATTTGTTTTACGTATAACTACATTTGCTGAGGTTTTAGCTTTGATTTGGTTAATAAATGAATGTTTCCTGCCGTATAAATGACCAACAAAACTATTTGGGAAGAAAAACTCGTAGGTAGTTTTGAGACGATTTGCTTCAGAACGTGGCAGGCTTGAGCCTTTTCCCGAGTCACCAGATTGTAAACTGCATAAACTCAATGAAGGACTAGCAGCATCAACGTTACGCTTCCCATTGTCAGTTGCACTCAATTCTTGTGTTGCAACGTCAGTAGTTGCCTCTTTGCTACTGATTTGTTGATTAATTGAATGTTTTTCATTTTCTTTTTGTTTCAGCGACGACGATAAGTTTGACTCTTCTTGATCGTTTACATCCTTAGTTTCCTTTTTAACACATCCCATTGGTTCTAAATTGTTATTTTCTTCACACTCTTTAGTATATTTACTCTCAAGAAAAGAATTTTCTGGTGATATTTTTGGTGTGCGAGTTGCCCTTATTACAACAGGGGCGTCTTTTTTGCAATTCACGTTTCGGGAATAAAATGCAATACGATTATCAACGGAGTCTGGCAAATCGATTGGCGACGACAAGTTTTCAAAATCTTCATCAATCGATCGAAGCACCTTATTTTCCGCGTCCTGTATTTTACTTTTTAAAACCTCAGAGTCTACCTGTTGTTGTTTGACTGGAGAGCCTCTGGAATTCTGAACAATTTTTATTGGAGCTGATTTGCCGAAAAGTCTGACGGTTGGACTCTCTTCGTCTGAATTCTTAATATTTATGTTTACCGAGTCACTTGGTAAGGGATTTGATATGCTCCGCATATTAGTTACTTCTGCTTGATGTGTTGATGATTCATCTGATTGCTGTTTATTCAACTTTTCTTCCTCACCCGCCGTTGTATCTCCAATTACGCGATTTTTGTTGCGACGCCGGTACCAAAAAACACCGAGAATGAATACTACTCCCGGTAATGACAGATATAAAAGTGGACGACCAGATACCATTTTCGTTGAATGTTGGAAACTATTGAGAGGAAAAATATGTTTTGATTATTTTTTCATACATATTTTTACACAATTAAATGTTCGTAGTTATACTATGTAACGAAATGCCGATTTCGTACGATAAAGTTTATTTTGAAAATTTTATATTTTCCTTAATATTTTAATTAAATCTATAAACTGATATTATTTTTAGCTTAATTCTAAAATTTTATGAAATTTTATTATTTATTCTCCAAGTAACAAGCCCTCAAAGATTGCCGAAATTACTCAAATCAGATACTAATTTTCCTATCGTAACAAAACATCAACTTAATTCCTTTTTTCCTATTAATATAAGCCAGTAATGTTATTTTTGTTAAAAGTGTTTGTTTAAAAGTGTTGTCTTGCCGTATTTTTTGCAAAACAAAATTTCAGCAATTCATTATTAGAGCTCTTTTTCGTTTCGCAATCGTAATTTTTATAGAATTATCTTTGCAAGCCTGCAGGCTTCATAAAGGCAAAGGGAAAATAATAATTTTTTGCATACATATTAGTAATAGTATATCGATGGCTGAGTGGAAGATCGACCTATCTCGGCAGCCAGTTCGAAAACGCCCTATCTCCGAAAATTTTTCAACAACGCTCTATCTCAGAAAACCTTTCAAGAACGCCCTTCTTCAGAATTTGATTGAAAAACGAACTATCTCAAAATTTGGTTGAAGAACGCCCTATGTTGTTGTTGTAGCGGCACTACTAAGCCCCGCCTATTTCGGGTCAACATTCAATCATTGTCGTCAAGCTCAACTAACGGGAGGCCCAGGAAACGAGCTGTTTCAATGGGGTCGGACCAGAGGGAGAGGGGTGTCAGTTGAGTCGGATTGAGCTGGCATGTGAAGAGGTGGTTGGTGTCGTGAGGGGATTCTCCACATGCCGGGCACTCATTGGGGATATTGGGGTCGAGTCTGGACAGGTAGCTGTTGAGGCGGCTACAGTATCCAGACCGTAATTGAGCCAGGGTAACGCGGGTCTCTCTTGGCAATTGAAGCTCCGTCTCTTCTATGGGTGGTGATTGGGCTCCGATTACGGCATTCATAGGTCGAGAGTCAAGGTAGGTGGTGACTAACTCTGTATGGATGTCGCTAATAGCTCGTCTGTTGCCGTCGGGTCCAGTGGTTGGTCTACGTATTGCTGGACTGCGTCCTTGTATACGAATAGGTGCCCCCTGACGTGCCTGGGCGGAGGCTCCTCCTGTAGCAGAGATCTGTTTGGGTGTTTACTTCTGTGGCACCCCACCAGAAATTGCTTACAAAGCATTTTGTTGTTGTCCCTTACGGGGAGCACTTGGGCCTCGCTGTGTAGGTGGTGCTCAGGCGTCATCAGAAGGCACCCAGTCGCTGTCCGGAGTGCGGCGTTCTGACAAGTCTGTAGCTTCGTCCACTGCGTCCAACTAGTCACCGGCGTTGAAACTGGCGTTAATTATTTTTTGTTTCTCAAAAGCAGCCCTGCGTGCTTAGAAAGCGTGTGTACCAATTATTTCATCCCTGGCATATTAATCCCCGAGGAAGGCAGTCGCCAAATTCACCCAAGGTTGTTTACTGGTTATATTGTAGACTAGATCAGCACAACAAAACGTAATGAAGAAACGAATGCTAAGATGCCAGACCAAGCCAAGGGCTGCCACATTTCGTGAAATTCTACAAAATTCTTTTAGAATTGTGAAATGTTGTGACTAGATATGGCAACTGGCATTACTACAAGCTATTGATCTCGAGGACGAGACAGTGTGGTATAATTTGCTTCTTGATTAATGTTTACATAAATCGGTCTCTCCGAAAGTTCCTCTTCGACGGATTGAGTGAATTTTGCCCAATCAGCGAAGTTGAGTAGAAATTTCTTTTCGGTGTGGTGTTTTTCGGTGTTGTGTGTCAAATTGATTGTGGTGATTATCGGGAAATGGTCGCTGTGACAAAGATCCTCTAAGGTCGGTGTTATGCAGACAAACTTTTGTTTACCAAATTAAATGGCGGCTGCTTAGTTTGCTCGGAGGTGGTTATGTCGAGTT